GTAGATGCCGTTTAGTTTGCGTATGTACGCATCGCGCTGAGGCTTGAAGGTTGCCCAGTCAAATTTGAGTGCGGCAGCGTCGCCTTTGATATGGTACCCTTTGGTGTGGTTGTGAACCCTCTCCTGCAGATCTGCAGCGTGCCACATGATCTGGAATGCAAGTTCAAGGATGTCTTTAAGCAGCTCAAAAACGAACCTTCTTCGGAACACATCCTGTTCACAAGCTCAGACGCGATATTATGACCAAAAAATATTTACGCACCGACATTCACGCAGGTCCCACCAAGTTTCCCATCTTTTTCGACGACGGCTACCTTCTTCCCGTAGGATGCAGCGCGTCGCTAAATCACGTTAGTCAAGAAATCGGAATAGCTACAGTCGACGCACAGAGAAACCAGAGCCGCCGCTGCCTCCACCGATGATGACGAGGTCATACTTCTCCGTGGTAGGTTTATCGTAGATGGGGGGCATTGTGGAGAGGGATCTAGAAATCTGGGAAAGAGTCGTTCAAGACCAGAGTGCATTCGAGCTAGAAACATGGTGGACCTGAGCAAGCCTTGCGATTGCTGACCTAGGAGCGAGTTTAGAGGTATAGAAAGCCAGGACGATGAGGCCTCTCAGCAGGCCAGCAGCGGTTTATAACGGCGCGACGTGATATTTCGTGATCAGTAATGCTTCACGTGCGGGCAAGGCGGGGTCGTGTAAGCGACCTTCCGAAGCTACACAGATACAATTCAATTCACAGGTCACCAAATTCAGCGTCAAAGGCTGCTCTGCTGACATCGCCCTTCCTCATCTTCTTGGCCATCCTCTCTTCCCGCGCAAACTCCTCCCAATCCTCGCCGCCATCATCCCCGTGTCCCCCGTCCTCCTTCTCACCAACAACTGCCACAGCTTCCTGACTCTTCTGCCACTTTCGTTTCTTACTCTTCTTGTCCTTCCTCTTCTCCCGTTCCTCCTTCTTGGTCACCTTGTTGCTCCATGCAGCGTTGGCTTTTTGCGTCTCTGCCCGTGCCGCCCGTCGTTTCTCCCTCTCGGCATCAAGCAAGGTTGCCGCAGCTGCTCCTGCCGCAACGCGCTTCGCCTCTTGCGCCTTGTCAAGGTACGCAAAACGTGTTCCACTGCAAATCCTCAGCACCAAGAACGTTAAATCAAACAGGCCAATCTCACATCCACAGTAGCCTCTTCCCAATCTTCGCGAGGAAGATCGCGTAGTTCAGGCATATGCGGGAGTCGAAGCAGCCCAAAGCTCTTGGCTACACCGATAAGATCAAGATCCTTAACACGGAAAATGTACGACGCCTCGTGTTTCGAGTACGCCCGCACAAAGGACACGAAAGCAGTCATGGCCTAGAAAACCGCGTTAAAAAAGACGACTCGTTCTATCTGCAACTCGCTCACCTGATCATGTATCGCTCGATCTGTTGACACCGTTTGCCGGATACGACCGAGAAAGACAGACACTTCAGGGTCCTCCGGACGTGTCGGTTCTTCCTCGCCCTCCACAGGCGCAGGTTCCATGACCTGATCCCCAAAGTACGGTTTCTCATTAATCGGTATTTTCCTAATCGCCAAAAATTCTGGAGAAAAGTCGGACTCGGCTCGGCTCGAGAAACAGTGGATACGCACCAACGTAGGACGTTTCCCGACCAACAAGCAACACCCACGCCCTCCCGCTGCGGCCCGCCCTGGCGGTTCGTCCGCAACGGTGAGAAAAGGCTTTCGGATCCGACGGCGGGTCAAATTGGATGACCGCGTTAACTGAAGGTAGATCCAGTCCGCGTGCAGCTACGTCGGTGGCAAGGAGCACGGCCGGTGATTCTGCCGTGGCCGGGGCATCCGTAAACGCAGCCAAAGTCTTTGTCCGAGCAGAGGGCGGAAGATGGCCGTGTAAAGAGAACAGTGATGTATTTGGAGGTAGGAGGTCTTGTAGAATCTGGGGAGGATGAGCCACAGGTTTTGAGATCCGGGAGAGACGAACACGATAAAAGTAGTCTACGCAGGCGCCTGTGGCAAAGTAGACAATGAATCGGGTTGACTCGTGCTCTGCAACTTCGGCGGATATTATACGCGTCAGTTGGACCAGCTTTTCTGATGCTAAACAAGAAATGTAATGGATCTTCAGACTACGAGGGAGGGTTCAATTTATATTCTTAAAAGGCGCCTAGCACTCACTTGGCCGGTATCCGGCGTTCTTCTATAGTCTCGCGGACCGACGAACCCGCAGACTTTAGTTTCTTGGCCTGCACTTTGACAATAATGCGTGCAGGGTTCCGCAACCCAACGCGAACGAGCTCCGAGAGGGCATCCGCATCCGTCATGGTTGCGCTAAATAGCCCCGTCCGTCGTTGTTTCGGCAGATGCGATATAATGCGCGTGACGGCTGCTTGGAACCCCAAGTCCAGCAACCTACCAGGTGTTTACCAGCAGAAAAATTCACTAGACACAACTACGCACCTGTCCTGCTTCATCTAGCACCAAAACCTCGAGCTCTTTGACGTTGACCACGGCCTTGCCCTTGCCCAACAGAAACTCTTCGACACGACCCGGTGTCCCGATAACTATATCTGCGCCTGTTGTTGTGAACCGTTGAATGTCCTGCGCTGGGGACGACGTGTTGGATGATATGAGCAACAAGGCTGAGGGGTATTCAGGTTCTGGCGGGTCCGAGTCCACGTCCACAGGCTCGCTCCTGGGCTGCGCCGACAGAAACAGCGAGAAAATAGAATGGATCTGCGTCGCTAGTTCTCTGAGATGAGTTGAGGCGATGAACGATATGAAAATAGAGTTGCGCGCACCGTGTCGGGCTAATTATGAGTGCTCCGAGGTCATTCTTGCGTAGTTTCCGTTCTCGACGTATAAGACGCTCCAGAATGGGGATGACGAAAGCAAGAGTCTTTCCAGATCCTGTGACGGCTTCTACGACGACATCCTTGTGCTGCATGAAGAGGGGATAGTCGAGGCTTGGACCGGGGTCATTTGAGTGTGTCCCATGGATTGAATAACATCGAGTCTGCAATTCGAGGTAAGGACCGTGATTTATGCAGTATACGCATAGTTACACCCATGGGGTCAAAGAGTGCGGCAGGGTAGACCAGGCCCCGCCTATGGCCGTCGTCGTTGCAGGAGCCATGATCAAAATTTTCGGTATTGTTTGTATCACACGGTGTAGCCAAACTCATATTCCCAAACTGGTAAGTAACTACTGGAACATCTCCCACTGCTTGCTGTCTAAACAGAAATCATGCCACAGCTGCGAAGAGGCTCAGTGCTGGTAGTGTTATTGAGAGAGAAACGTACCTCTTCCCCAAACGCCCCGGTCATCCTTTCCATAAGCCCTTCCTGGTCTTTCAAATCCTCCGACTCCAGATCACCAACTCTCTCAATCTCGTCCCAAATGCGCACTGCCATGTGGTACAGGTAATGCCGAGTTTGGTGGCTGTCTGTAATCAGCAAGGGTTCTGTTCAAGGCAGAAATATCAACGAACTATGCAGCAGCTCGGTGAGCACAATCTTCACCGAGTACGAGTCGAAATCCCGGCGGGTACAGGAGAACATCCGCCTGTGCGTTGTTCCCTTTATCTCGCGTCGTTCTGTCGCTATATTCTTCACCACGTTCCGGGATATCCTGTAGAAAAGCGGAGGTGAGTGAAACCCATAATGATATTGCAAACAAAATTTTGAACAAGTACTTGGAACGTCTCGGGGTCATAGAATCCCTTGCGTGTCGAGACTGTGTAGGAGCCCATCGCGCTGCATTTGAACTTCCCACGAGTCCAGCAAGCCTCACAGTCCGAGTCTTCGCATTGTACGGGTCCCATCAGAACTGGACGTCGGTCCAACGTGATTTTGAACGACCCAGTCCATGTGGGACCTTGCATAGTATCCGCTTGTGCCCTAGTACGAATCTTGAGGGCATTGAGGGCTGCCTTGAAAGACAATTCTGAACGGAGATCAGGTAGCAGTGGATACAAATAACTGTGGGGCATACCGTCTTCCCCAGCTAGCCCCTCCAAGTCTGGATTGGCATTTAGTTTCACCAAAGACTCGATGAATGCCATGAATTGCTGCTTGAGCGAACGCCGCTCATACCAAACGATGCCTAGTGCTTTCTGGACTTTCTGATCTTCATCGGACGACACATCTGCATCGTCTATGAAGTCATTGTCTGAGCTGGCATCCTCTGAGTTGGCACGACCATTCTCTGAGCTCGCACGCTCTGACTGAGTCTCGTCCATCGTAGATTCGTCCGAATCGTTCTCGAGTCCCGAACTCGAAGAAGTATCAACATCTTCAGGGACTGCTCGACGAACTGCGGTCGGCGACCCCTTGTTATTGCGGCAATCCTTCAGCTTTTCTATCGCATCCCTCCGTATTTCCTTCGGTAATGGCTTGGACCGGGGAGGAGGTGTAGGAACTGCAGGAGCTTGATAGATGAGCGCAAGAGAGGCATACTTGACTTACGCCGGAGGTCATTCTCGTCCTCGGAATGTGCCCCAGAGTCTGAATCGGATGACTCGTCCCTCGTCCCACCGCGAGAAGAAGCTGAAGCCGGGTTCAATGCACGACGACGCTTTAGACATTCTTTGCGCTCTAGAAGATTGCACTCAGAGTCGGACGAGTGTGATGCCTCTCGGGTCCTCTTGTTACGCGCTGAAGGAGTTACAGTCGAATCTTGCCTGCGACATAAACGTTTTGGAGAAGACGGGGAATCTGAATTCGAGGGCTCTCCGGTTTGGCTTGGAACAGGGAGCTCGCCTTCAGCCTCAGACTCAGAGCTCGAGTCCAACTGACGACGCAGGCGCTTTCGCGGTGAGCGAAGAGTAGGAGTCTCGGTATCCTCATTCTGCTCCTCTAGGTCTTCGTGCTTGGGCCGCCTCCGGTGGACCATGGAAAGAACTTGAAGGTTGGGAAAAACAGGGGCAAATACTTTCTGAATCTAATCTTCATGAAATTGTCACCACCAGACCACAAGTTGGAACCGGTGGAAGTGAAGCATTTCCCTCTTAGCTCAGTTGGTAGAGCGCGTCACTAGTATATCTCTGTCGCCCAGTGCGGTGTCATGACGAGGTCAGTCGTTCAAATCGGCTAGCGGGAACTTCATTTTTCTTCTTCTTCTCTTGTCTTCTAGTTTGCAACTTTGCGAAACCATTTGCTCGTATTGGGTATGGGCAGCGCCTGCCATTAGCGAGTGATCTGATGGCACTTCCGCTTTTGGAACTACAGCCAAATCAAAGCTTTAAGTTTCGGTCTACAACTCTAGCCTCAACGGACACAAATGGCCATTAGCTTCAGCGGAGACTTGGTTTCAGAATTGCATTTTATTTGTAACTGTCGAGAGACTTTCCGAAAAATCACCTCTGAGTGCGAGATACAGAATTAAAATACCAAATGGAAGTCAAAATTCAAAGATTTTTCTCGACAGTTACAAATGGATCTCATCCTAATGTTGAACACCGCCCGAGTTTTGGCATCAAGTATGACCCAGGGTGCTATAGACTGCAGGACCTTTCGCTGTGTGATGTCCATGTCACGCATTGTCACACCGCTCTGCTGCCCTTCAGAGAACATCCTGGAAGGGTTGTATGAGACAAATTTCACTCAGGGTGTGTCAAGAGAGCTTCAGCAAGAGGTATGAACCCTTGTATACCCATTCCCGGCAGCTTGAACACTAGCCAAGTACCTATTTTCCAGCAGACTTCGTTCTCAATTTTGAATTTTATTCTGCAACTGGGTCTAGTAGAAGTATTTTCCACTGGATTTGTATTCTAGGATGTCTCCGCGGCTATTCAGGGGGTGTAGAAGACAGACGAAGGATTCGGGCCTTGATGTGCTTAGTAAGTGAATGATGTGACTGGCTGTGATTGCCCATACCCACTCGTATATACAAGAATGCAGCTAACTAATCCAGGATGCAGGGGTATGTACGATCAGATATATTGCTAGAAACGTGTCGGAGTGGGTGCCAGTATTGCGTAGTGTACATACAGAAGAAACCTCATAAGACCCAGGGCAACTAAAATGTGGATATGGATACGTGTGGTGATGCGCTGCGTCTCCTAGTCAGACTCGAAGAAATGAAGAACACAGAAAAGACTCACGCGACTAAATAAAAATATGCCACTCTTGGGCAGTGGAGTGGGTATTGAGCCTAGTATTTCTGCCTCGCAGTACCGGCCAGTGCGGGCGTTTTGTAATATACGCAAGGAGGATGGGGTAGTGGTAGCGATGTATTGGCGCTGGTGGGCGTATAAAAAGGGGAGGCATGCGAGTGGCGCCTCGCCCCTTCTTGAGTGAGCCATCGTTCGGATGTATCGACCGGGAGGGACGCTGGGTCGACCCGACTCGACTCGAGGCAGGCGGCGGGGTGTGGGGAAGACAAAGCAAGATACGACAGCAGGCGAAAGCAGGGGGCGGCAGGCAGATAAATAGGTGTGGGGTGTCTTCAACTCGTCCTCTCCTCGTCTTCCATCGCGTCTCCAAGGAGCTTTACTCCTTGTGGCGACTAATCTTCTCTACCCCTGCACTGCGCGCGGTCATACGACGTTGCTCTGCCTCTGCGTCTTCGTCCTCGTCCTCGTCTTCATCATCGTCATCGTCATCTTGGTCATTCTCCTTTGACCGTCTGTCATCCTCCTCCTCGTCCTCCTCCTTCTTCTCATCCTCCTCGTCCTCATCATCCGAAACGGAAGACCCAGACGAAGATGAAGACGAGTTGGGGGGAGCGTGCGCGTCGGCAAGTATATTGACAGCGCCATTCGAGGAACTTCTGTGATGGTGCCCTCTGAAATGCGCGGGAAGTGTCACCGCGCGCAGCACGTGCTCCTCTTCGTGTGCTGAAGGCGTTCCTAGTGGTGAAGGCCCCAAAGACGGGGCGGCGAAAGGAAGGGATGGAGTACCCAGCGGGGTGCAAGCATGCGGCGTGCCCAATGGTGAAGTTGCAGGCATTGGCGTGCTTACCTCGGCCTCGCCGACTCCCACCTCACCACCACCACCGTCTCCATCGCCATCTTTCTCTTTGATCTCCTCATTCGCGTTCTCCTCCGGTTCTTTCTGAGTCCGTTCGGCGGCCTCTTTTTCCAGTTTCTCTCGTTCCCTTGCCTCCCTCCTCCGTTTAACCCAACCCATTCCACTCCCATCGTCGTCTTCTTCTCCCCCGCCAGTGTGGACAACGCCCATACCATGGACGTGTCCCTTGGCTTTAACGTCGGGGCCCGAATTAGCCGAGGACACTGTTATGGTGGAAGACGCGGCGGATGTCGATGCGCTGGCTGAGCCAGTAACGCGCCCCCATGCAGCATGTTCCTGATTCTTGACGCTCCCCATGCCACCGTAGCCCCACTCAACGAACGCCGGCTCCTCGTCACGCGCGGATGCGAAGGGGTTCGCTGTAAAAAGAGAATTGTATTAGAACTCAATGTGACAGAATATGGCTTGGCGCCGGGCGGAGAACGGGGAACATCGCGAAAACAAATGAAAGACTAACCTTGCTTCGAGCCATATACACGGCCATTTAACATCTTTGTCCCACGTTTCCCGCCAGGCGCCACTGAGTTGGCGAACGGATTGTTCGTGGGCAAGGGGGGCGGAGGCCCGGCGTTCTTCTTCGCGTTTGACTGGGAGATGCTCAAGCTGCTGCTTCGCCGCTCTTTCCCAATGCCAAAACTAGGCAGCAAACCGCGCCCTCGCCGTTTGGCCATGCTCGAGACGCTGCTCTGGCTCTGTGTTCGTGAGAGCGGTGAGCCGTTGGTCAAGCTGTTGGCGGAAGACCACCGCTGAAGGGCGAGGTTGACGGGCTCATCGACGCTTGGTGTGGGGGTCAGGCTGTCGGTGGACGAGGCCGGGGTGGTGCCTCGACGGAAAGTACGGAGCAGACCCCGCGGTTTTGGCCACGTGCCGCTCTTCTGCAAAGACGCGGGGTTGAAAGACGAGGGTGGCGGGGTGTCTGGTAAGAGAGGTAGCGAGATTGTTGGCGTAGGCATCGGTGAAGGTTGAGAGTTTGAGTATGACGAAGCGGGGAGCTCTGCAAAATCGGGGAGTGGAAGCTCCTCGCCGTCATCGGTGACGAGCAGGGACCTTCTGGGGTCTGGAAGAGGCGCGAAACGGATCTTGCGCGGGGTGGGCTTGTCCATTGTCGGAGTGTCTGCACTGGTATGTGAAGAGGCCGAGGAGGCAGAGCTCGAGTTGCTGGAGGAAGAGGAAGAAAGGCTGTTTGTCGACGCTTGAGAGGGCAGCAGAATGGAAGTAATGGCTGGAGAGACCAACATGGTGGTCATGTCTCAGAGAGTGAAAGAAAAGCAATTGGTGGCAATCAAAAGTATCGCTTGGCTTGGCACCTTCCCTTAACCGTTCAATATTTTACTTTGCGACCTTCTGAAGCCTGCAGAACATAACCGTACAGACTCCGCAAACAAGCGTGAATCCCCCGCGGTGCCTTGCTTCAAATTCCGTTTCAAGATTTGCTTCCGTCTCGTCAAAAAGTCTCGCAGTTTTCCCGAAGTCCCGCTTAAAAGACACCGTGTGTTGTGTTCCTCAACCCACGACGCTTCTCCTCTTGTTTTCTGGGCGCCGCACAGATGGTGGCCTCCCGGCTGGTCCCGCAGCCATATCCACTTCATCACCCCTTCTGGAGACCGGCGCCACAGTCTCTTACGGCTCGTACGCACGTTCTTTTCAGACGTGAGACTCTCCCGGCCAGGTATACGCAATCATCCGGCGGTGTACAAGCCACCGTTGTGGTCGTGTGCCAACTAATGTTTCCAATTTTTGATGCTAGTGCATCAGGATTCAGCCAAGACCGACATGGAGCAGCCCCGCTACAGCCCGCACCATAGCATTGACGACTCGCCTCTACCGGCCAGTTCGCAATTTTCCACAGTGACACACTCTTCCTGGTGTCATTGACACCAATCGACCTCTGCATCCTCATCCCCATCCAAATCTTTAATTTCCGTTCCACGGGGCCTCGACGCACCGGTATCCCAATTGGCCAGCATCCATTCATGATAAGGGCAAGTATAGCATGCACTTAGCAAGAAGTGGACACTGGACGGCGTGCTGGCCCCGGCATCAAATGATTTTCTACGAGAAGACGGAAGCAAAATTCGATGATCACTCTCGATCGCGCCATCGACTGTGTTATCTCCTCAAGATGGCCAATGGTTGCTTGTATCGTTATTAGCATCCCTCAAACGTGCATACATCGCCTCGTTCAGAGACATTTTCTTTCTAATCCCGTAGATCAGCAAAACCAACCGACGCTTGGATGCTGTAATCTGTCCGGAAACAACATGTCCTCTGGCGACACTGCGACCCTCGACCCGGACGCTCCCATGGATCCCACGCTCTCCGACGAACGTTTCTTGTGTAGATCCTATATTGGCCCGCCACAGGCTTCTCATGGACCCACAATCATCAGAGACCTCCGAACCCGCTAGTGAAGTGCCGCCGCCCCAGCCAGTTGCAGCGATTTGCACCAATGGCCACCAACGTGCACCTTCAAGTTCATCTGCATCCTTGCACTCAACGAGGACACCTCGTAATATTAACTATCGCACGGACACCGAAACTTTACCGTGCAACTCGACCCTTACTCTAGAAAGTTCTAGTCTGCCTCCCACCTCAGCCACTGTTCATTTACCCGACTGCTTGGACCCGCGGGGAGGCCCGCCTATGAAAACGCTTCTACAATAACTTACTCGACGCTGGCCTGGACCGGGGCGCCCTTCGGAACTGCGCGGACATGAGCGCCGTCTGTTATGGACGTTCCTTCCCTCGGGATCAGCATCATGACTGACTGGCCTTCACGGCGTCTCGAGGCACAATAACCGTTCCATCTATCTGTCAACGGACGTCCGCGCTCCGGCGCGCCCGGGTCATTTTCGCGGGTTTACCAACTCCACGCACGTCTGCTCATGGTGCTATTCCACCAATTGGTCGGCGGTGTTCGTCCAAGGAGATACCCGGCCAAGTCCGTGCTTTTTTGGTGACGAGAGGTCAGTTGAACGTTCACTTCCCCGTCGAGACGGAACTTGCCGCCAAGGCGGTACCATTCATGGCTCTCTGGAATACTGGACTTTCGGGGATCCATGTCTTTGGTCTCCGCCGAGTCGGTCTCCCTGCTCCTTCTAGGAAGATGAATCCTTACTCTGTACCACATTAAATAATAATTTGATGGTTTTCAAGCGTTGGCTTTATACATCCTGCAAATGAACCAGTGGAGCTTGCTGGGTGAATCGTGGCTCTGTGAACGTTTACAGCTGTTGGCAAAATTGTAGGCCACTCCAAAAAATCTTGACACTCGGATTTCTGCACAAAGGAGGTAATGTTGGACAGATGCTGGAGCCAAGGCAGCATCGACGGTGGGGATTTGTGGAGCAAAGTGACATTCGCTGAGGTAGCCGAGATATCACGAAAATTTGGGCTCGGCCTACAATTTTGCCAACAGCTGTAACCCGTGTCGTTGTGATTCGAGCAAAACAAAGTGAAAGTACCAAAATGAATTCCCGCTAGCCGATTTGAACGACTGACCTCGTCATGTGAGGATACTAGTGACGCGCTCTACCAACTGAGCTAAGAGGGAATTGATAGGGTTCCCAAGCAACATATATATCTCACGGAGGTTTCGGATTTATGTTTTGATTTGGCGCCCTTCTCATCAAATCTTATCCTCTTCCACAACCATGCCTCCACAGCCCAAACGCAAGCGCGTCGATCCCGATGAAAACCCTCCTGCGAAGAAAAGAGCGCGTCGTGCCGCGAAAAAGATCGATCCAGAGTCGGGTTCCGACTCGAGTGTCCAAGTGGTAGTCTTGCCCAAGAAGCGTCGGATTGGCAAAGGCGCTGACACGAAAGATGCCAAACCGAAGAAGGCAAAGCGAGTCGAGACGCCTCCCAACGTCTCTGGAGAGTCGGACGATGAGGACGCATCAGACGTCGTACCTGCACGCAAGGCTCGACGCAACATCGAAATTGCCTCTGATTCGGATGAGGATGAACGCCCCAAACGGCTCCGACGCGCCAAGTTGGAAAAAGACAGCGATGACGAGTCGGATTCTCCGCAAAAGGGACGGCTGCAGCGCAAGTCCGAGCATGTTCTCGACTCTGACGATGACCCAGAGGACCTTGCGCGTATGTCTACATTCTTATTCACTCAACTCATTGTTTGACGCTCCTGTGCCAGTACCGGCTGCCCCGACTTCCTCCCAACCGACCAGAAAGGAACTCAAGTCTAACGCGTTGGCACGATATGCGAAGGCTCGCAAGAACAAGTCGTCGCCCGCACCTGTCCCTTCCGATGCCGGCCATGAGAACGAGGAGGAGGTACACAGGGACTTTCACGCCTTTTTCAGAAGTAGAGGAGGAGGAGGATGAAGGGGAAGACGACGGCAGCGAAGACCTGGACCAGGCAGAGGAGGGTTTTATCGTTGAAGAAAACGAACAAGATGCCGATGACGACGCCAACGCCGCTCTGGATATCATGCGATACTCCCAACGCGAACTCGACGAACACTTTACCGTCTTTGTCGAGTATATCATCGCGTTGCATTCCGACCCCGGATACTTGTCCACGGCCACGGAGCAAGAAAGTAAGTCCTCCCTCAACTCGCTCTTCTCCCACTAACCTTGAGTCAAAGAACAGTACTTCGAGACGGCAGTCATAGCGCTGAAGCGGCATATCAATCCCCTCGCAGACTCGATAGTGCATTCGCACTGGAAAGCACCTTTCATGGCAACACTCGATCTGCGACCTAGTCTCAAAGATGGGCTCGTTTGCGACGGCAGCGGCAACTGCCACGCGTGCTGGACGCGAGGCAAGTTTTCGTGTGATCTCAGTTCCTCGTACGAGCTGTCGACGAACAAGGGCATCTACGATCATTCGACCTTCCAGGTGAGGGCTCCCGCGTTTTTTTCCCTGGAAGGCTGTACTGAACGAGAGTATAGGATCTGCCAGAGAAGAAAATCAAGTATAGTCGGCAGACCTCGTTCGAGAATAACGCCGAGGCCCGCAACCTGCCCTATCCTCCTGGTTTCACGCTAGTTATCGGTGCCAGATGTTTCAATCGCGCGCTGGCCTAGTTCGTGTTTCCCGTTTCGTTTTCGTACCAGTAACTTATGCACATGATATAGCCACGCAGCCCGGCATTACCTCTATCATATCGCCGTTCAAGTCAGGGAAAAGATCAAGTCGCTGTGCGAGGACGATCCAGAGCTTGGGGATGATCCCAATGCTGTTTTCAAGAAAATGAAGGACGAGGAGTTCTTGACTTACGTTCGTCTTTCTTTTACGTCTCGAGGACCTAGGCTGACTGCAGAAGCTCTGGGGACGGTTCAAATCTGATAAAAAGACCTGGGACCATTGGGCAAAGAGGAAGGACCATGACTCGCTCGGGTAGAAGGTATTTTCATTGATTGCCTGAATTCTGGTTACTTATAATTGGTTTCAGGATAGCTTCACCAGCCGAGGCGGTTGTCTCTTGTCCTTACGAGCAGAACGTGGACAAGGATCTGGCGCGGTAACTACACCTGTAGGCCTATCCACATGAATTGCATCCTTGGAATCATAATGATCTCGAAGAGACCTTAGTCCAAGTTGCCGACGTGAGGTATTCGATCTCCGCCGCGAGGAAGATGTTCTTCTATGTGTATTAACGAACTCTAGAGCAACCCATAATCTACAGTCAAATTAACCCGTCCAGCCAAGCCGTGCTCTTTGGTGTAGAAGGCGGTGGTACAGACGATGCTGGTTTTGGCTTGGGTGTGGTTGGTGGGAAGTAGTCCGCGAGGACCGAGTCAAAGTCGGCTTGGGCAAAGGATGCTATTGGGGTAGCCTTAATTCACGGTTCGTGGGGAGAAGAGAAATGCGTACCGGGGGGAGGGTTCCGTGCCTTGATAGAATTTTGGAGAAGAGTGGACACGATTAGCTGCCGGAGAGCGGACCCATCGAGCGGCTGTACGAGGCTGTTAGACTCACGGACAACGACGTGAAACTGAGCAAACCTTGGGCTCTTCTTTTTTCGGCTGGGCCTGGGCCGTAGGAGGCGGACTCTCCTTGTACGTTCCCAGTGGACCAGATGCTTTACCAAGGAACGTGAGAACGTCGCCCTTGGTGAGCATTCCGCGTACACCAGTGCCCTTGATCTTAGACGCCTCTGAGATACCATTCTCCATGAGAAGACGGTGAACAGAGGGGAAGAGGGGACGGGTATGAGAAGGTGGGGAATGGTGAGATGTCTCTGCCGGCTTCGACTGTGGGGCGGGTGGCGGCGTCGAAGGCGTGGGCGAAGACGCAGGCTGTTGAGCGCGCCTTGGCGACGCTTCCTCCTTTGGAGCCTCGAGGTTTCGAGATGTCGTCTCCCTCTTCTGCTAATAACGCAATGACTTTGCCGACAAGGATGTTCTTGGAACCGTCCTGGACCTGGCAGAGCATAAGGTCGATAGCAAGCCAACTCAAGCAATAGACACACAAGAATTTTACCCAGAACACCGTCGTCCTGAGCCTCGACGTCGATTGTGGCCTTGTCCGTTTCCTGCACGGGTGAATTCGGGGAACGCGTCGTTTTAGTACAGACGACGCACAATCTCGAGCAAGACGTCTCCCGCAGAGAAGGCCTCTCCTTCCTTCTTTTTCCAGCTGGAAATTCCGCCCTCGGTCATCGTTGGGGACATTGCGGGCATTTCGAGGTTGGTGATGGCGCGACGGGCATGGGACTGGTGGAGCGCTGCAAAGCATGAAGGAGATGAACGAGGTATATCAAGCTGGACGGACCACGCCGGAGAACTGCTCTTGTTAATGAAGACATGAAGTAGGGAAGCAAGAGAACGGCCGCAAGTGATGTGTACTGCTGTTGACGCGCTCTTCTTTCAGACGCGCTACCATCTGCATCTCCGAAACTAAAGACTTTTGCTCTTGGATTGTGGACTTTAAGGCTCTGCGAGTCTCTTGGCCTCGTAGATTCCAAGAAACATTCTCACCGGACAGAATCGGACATGTGTACACTGTAGCATGAGGTTCTGCCAGTCTCCATACTGCTACATAGGCCGACCCTTGACACACACTAGCTTTACGGCTTTCATTGATAGATCTACATAGCTGCTTGTATACAAGGATAAAAAATTTGAGAGAACCCCTGTGGTCGGGCATTTCGGTACTTATTGCCGCTTTCTCGGACTTTAGTTTCTGCAACTCCCGCGGCGACAACTACCTCGACTCACTATCTTATGCTTTTCTGACCCGCCCTGCTACCTCGAAACGTAATAGCAACGTTTCTCAGCGTTGGACACCCAGCATGGCCCCGTATGGCCCCAGTCTGCTGCTTCAGTATGCGAGGATGTACGGAAATCGGTTCTTCCACCAGTTTGGCCTGTGCGTCACACGCGCATCCGTCGACGAACAGAGACTAACGGCGCCCTTTCCAGTCATTGCGCAACGCACCAAATTCGTATCTTGTTGGTGTCCAGCGTCGTGATAACCTCTCTCCTCTACCCCGCCATTGCCCTGTACTCGTCTTCGCGCCCCGAGTTCCTATCCATTCTCGACGTCACCCGCTCCAAGCACGCCCACGACCTCGTCGACGTCTGGGCTGGCCATGAATCGTTACGCGTACTGGAAGATGCCGTGTCCCTAGCACGGACCCGTGCAAGTTGTCCTGTGGACGGGACTCTGCGCTGTGGAAAGAGTTCTCATCCAGAGTTCTGTCGAAGGGGCTTTCAACCACCAGATTCTCCGGTCAACGTTGGATCTCGAGCGTCGTAATAGACGAGCTACAGCTTGGCATGCCTCAAGAATGCCGACGGAAGTTGCTTTGTCCTCTCCCCTCTGGCATTCTGGCACTACAATTCGGACGTGCTCCTCAACGACGTCAATATTTTCGACACAGTTAAGCACTCGGAACTGCGTCCATTGGTGGCATTCCTATCAAGCCGCAGATGGTTCTCGGCTGGTCGTGGATCCGACGAGCCGGGCACTGACTTTGATTATGCCATGTTCCTCGCCCTCACATACTTCTTCCCCAACTCGGACTGCCTCGGGAACGCCGAGCACCTCGCTTGGCTGCAGGCCGTGGACACGGCAAGCCAAGGAGCTCCGCGGCACCGCCCAAAGTCCCAGGAACCAACCTTGATTGCCCTAGAGGTACGCCGCACTCGTTCTATCTTTACCCACAACAATCAAACCATGCATAGTACCTCGGCAGCCCATCGCAGCCGAAGGGATGGACCGCCATCTCTGCGCTCATCTATCTGGCCTACGCTGCGTTTGCCATATATGTCACGTGGTCAATGCGCCATATGGACGCAGTCCACTCTCGTATCGGTATCACCTTTACTGCCATGGTCGAAATCGCGGTCAGTACCGTCACCAGTATCAGCGTCTGTGCTTTGGTCGGTTTCAAAGTGACCATGGTCCCTTGGTAACAACTCTTCTTCATTTGAACGCCATGTTCTGACTTTTCCGACAGGGAACTCTTACCGATCGTCATTGTTTTCGTCGGTGCTGAAAATATGTTCAACCTCGTTGATGCGGTTGGGAAAACATCCGTCACTTTATCGGTCAAGCAGCGTATCGCTCAAGGGCTGGGTCAC